GGGGTCTTCGAGCCACAAAAACCTTGTTAGTATTGATTTTGTACAGTGGATCTCCTGGTTCCTTAGATAGCTGAATTACGGAAATTCTGTTTATGTAAACGCGTTTCAGGAAACATTGATCTCTTGGCTTTATTGAGAGCCAAGTGAAAGGCGATTCCAATAGAAATTATTCCTCTTTAATAGCAAGTCGCCAGTATGCGGAGCCGAGTTGGTGTGGGTTTTATCAAGGTCAGGGCTGTAATTTACACCACAAGCTTGATATAATCGAGGAAGGATCAGTTTTGAAGCAATTGCCACACAATTGCCCTCTAATCACGAGGGTAAACTAAATGTTATACAGCATGAGACGAACATGAAAAATCATGTGTGTAAGCGTCTACAAGTGCTTCAGGAATAGGGTAGGATCTTTGTCTTTAAGCCAATAATCATATCAGTTTGTAATATTTTGAATTACATCGACCAGTACTGTTATTTAATCAAAAAGAAATTAAATGAAAAATGGTTGAAATCTAAGAAGAAATAGATAGAAGAAATGACGGTATGAATGAATTACAAGAATGGGATATAAAATTACCAAAAAAAGAAATTCTAGGATATTAGTTTATCAATGGAATGTACATCATGTCACGAATCGATACAGATAGATCTACCATCAGCTACCAAGGCTTCTGCCTCCGAGAGTGCGAAATATCGATGCCGAAGACGAGCCGAATGTGGATCCAGGCTAATAAGGCGGAAGCCAGGAGCGTCAGAGCCTAACTGGGCGCCAGTCGATGAAGTAGTTACCAACTCAAGACTTTCTGATATACCAGGTCCGGGTAGCCATGTAGCTGTACAGTTGTAATGAAGATGACCTGAGAATACGTGCCTAGCGCCGGCATGAAACAAACGAGGCAACCAATGATGCCGTACTTTTAAAGGCAGATTGAAGTATCCGGGTTCCTCATCAAAACGGTTTAAGTAGAATGGAATGTGCTAGTCATGAAAATAAAATATAAATGGTGAAAATACGAAAATGAAATATTCGGATAAAGATTTCGGTCGCCGTATTTCGATCCCACTTTTAAAAGTAATCAGTACCCCTTTGTCTTCAGCCTAAGGAAGTAGACTATATGTATCCCATGACACCTGCTTCCGAGGAGAATCCATTCAATAAGCAAAATCAAGGCTTGAGGAACAGGTGGACTTAAAATTAACGAAATAAAAGACCACCATAATCAGCGAGAGGGCGTTTGAAGGATCTTGAATACAGCTCTTATATAAGATATAATGGTAATCTTAAAAGCCTGCCAATAAACTGAAAATGTGGTTATATTCACATCTATCAAGAATACATAATTTAATTTTTTGCTTTTCTAATAATTGATGATGCATTTGGTTTTGGAGAATGATTTTTCCAAGGCACATACCATAAGTGCCTTATTCTCACGGAGATACTTATTTGCATTAGTAGAAGCAAAAATATCTGCGTTTTAATTTATGCTGTTTCTTCGGAAGGCATAAAATTTCTAGGTCAGTGAAATT